CTCACTAGAGCGACACATCGACGACGGGTTTGAGATTGTTTTTTTTAGGTTGGAGGGCGAAGACAGCAGCAGCCACGGCGTCGTAGCTTACAATACACATCCTACTATTAGAAACATTTCCAGCTTACGGTGATTTCTGGGTTACCTTCCACTAGCGATGGTGGAGCGAGGGTGGAGGCGGTGGCGGAGAATGCACGGAGGCAATGGCGGCTTGGATCGGAGGCGACTCTGTAATTTCGTCGATGGAGAGAAACACTTCAAATTTCTAAGTATAGATGAATCTATATGAAAGTCATAGAAAGCGTGTTCACGCCTTTAATTTGTTTTTGTTTTTGGTAAATAATTTTAGATTGAATTTATTTTAATTTTCAAAGATCTATTATAAATAATTTTTGAAAGTCATGAAAAATGTGTATTTTTTTTTGGGGGGGGGGGGTGTTTGTAAACAATTTTAGATTCAATTTTTAGTATTATTTTCATTTATAATATTGATATTTTTTGTTACCGTGTGTCTTTGTTACAAATATATATTGTACGATTTTTCGTCAAAACTGTATTTGTTACGGATAAATTTTCATAACAAAAGAAAAAAAAAGGTTGACCATCATTTTTTTTTGTCTCGATATAAATCGTAACAAAAACCACTTTTTGTGACGCAATAATTGTAATGGAACATTAGTCCGCTACAAAAGCTCCATTTTTTTTTTTGTAGTGTATGTTTGGTCATTTTAGGAAATATTAATACTTCTAGACTGTGCGTACTTGGTGCACCTGATGATGATAAAAATTTGATGTAATATTTTTATGTTTTGTAATGTTATTTCACAATATTTTCTCGCATTGTATAGGTATTCCAGTTTTGGAACTGATTTTTTGGTTGTTACTGAAAAAATGAGAATACTCTTTTTTGTTGCGAAATTATTGTCGTTACAAATACTGCTACAAAAAAATATGAATGTTGCTAAAATACTATTCTGACATACAACTTATTGTAGCGAATTTTATACCGTAACAATACTCGTTACAAATGCAAGAACAATTATTGTAACACTTCTTTTATTACGAGAAATATCCGATACAAATAAATCAAAAATACATTTCTACCGTTACAAAAATCGTTACAACAAGATTTTGCACGTGTTTTATAAGTGCGGAGACCGCCTCTTTTTTGTTACGGGAAATACCGGTACAACGAATTTTTGTAGCTCGAGTATAGGCACCGGTCAAAATCCACTACAAAATCGTTACAAATAATTTTTTATAACAAAAAATGACCATTTGTAGCGATTTTTTAACCGCTATAAATAAGCATTTTTTTTGTAGTGATACCCGACATATATCCCCAATCTCCGTTGAAGGCCCATTTTTCTGCATTGTGGAGGTGCTACTAGCACATAAACTAACACCCAAATATTCGAAAATGTAATATATTAGGCTTTTATTGTACACCAATTGTAATTGGGAGTAGCTATGATAGTTTATCGGTCTTAATTTTATTAATGTTGATGCATGCATAACTGCATGTCCCCAAGCAGATACGGAGTGTTTAGATTTTATCAACATAAGTCTTGCAATCAATTGCAGCCTCTTTAAAAGCGATTCAGCTAGACCATTTTAATTATGTACATACGGTACGAGATACTCAATATCAAACCCAATAAACATGTAATAATCATCAAATATCTTTGATGAATATTCACCAACATTATCAAGAAAAATATTCTATATTGAGTTATCTGCAAATTGTGTTTGTAATCTAATTATTTGAGCACGCAACCTTGCTAATGCCAAATTGCGGATGAATAATAAACATGCATGTCATCTAGTAGATGGATCGATAAGTACCATAAAATATCTGAATGATCTGCATTGTGAATCTACTAGCCCACATATATCGCCCTAAATTCGGGTGAATAATAAACATACATGCGACCATCTAATAGATGCATCGATAAGTATCATAAAATATCTGAATGGTCTGCATGGTGGATCTACTGAACCACATATATCACTCTGAATTTGTTCTAAAAATGCAGGAGATTCAGTTCTCATTTTTGCTGATAATGGTCTAGTTATTAATTTCTCTTTTGAACAAGCAATATATTTCAATTCATTTGTATTTAATACCCTTTGAATTTTCAAATAATGATCATGAGTATTTTCAATAATTCGTCTCATCATACTAATATCGGGATGTACAAACCGGCCATATCAAATCATATAATCTGTAGACTTCTAGTCTACCATATATGTTTCAACTGCATTAATCTTTATGTAATGTATAATCAGTAGGATAATGAAGATAATTTTTCTAATATATATTTGTGTCCATCAATGAATTTCGTAATCAACAAAAATTCATTATTTTTCTCACTTGATGTCTCAATGTGATTTTCATTTATGCGAATATCATTAAAACTTAGCAAATTTCTTTGAGATTTGCTAGAATATAGTGTATTTTTTATATCAAATTTTACTTCTTTGGGGAGAAATATTATTGTTCTTCTGTAGTTTTCAATCAATTTCGCACAACCATCTATAGTATTCACATAAATTTTTTCAACCTTTAGATTGGTGAAATATTTCTTATACTTTAGGATGGTGTGCATGATACCAATGAGACATAAATTATTTTCTATATTATTTATTATAGCACGCTCACCATTCATAAGAATAAATATATCAGTAGTTTGAACAAAATTCATAGTTGTTATCTTATTACAAAATATGAGAGTAAAAATAGTTATATATAATGAGTTTCAAATATATATTATCACATTGCACCTTCAGGGTGCTCAAAATATAAATCATTGGGAATTTTCAAATATGCACCTTCAAGGTACATATTATATAATATTGGGGGTATCAAAATATGCACCTTCAGAGTTCTCAATATACACAGTTTTTAAAATATAAACCTTCAGGGTTTTCAAAATACAAACTTTCAAGGTTATTAAAATATTTACTTTATGTGTACATTAAAGCAATCACACATATAAATTTGTGCTATTAATAAAATTATCACCATCGCTACTATTATTTTCAGATAAATTTATTTGTTACCATCTTCAGGTGCCTTTTCCTTGTAATAGCTAGTGGAAGGAAATCAAATCTTTATATGTTAAGTCATACATATATTGAAATCTTTTTGGATAATTACCTCTAATTTCGGCAAGATTGAGATATCCTCTATTGTATACAGGCAGAACTTTGAGATGAAAATTTCTTTGAACACAATTTTCACAATTTATTTTGACTAACTTTAAAAAATAAAAATAAATAATAAACTATATTTATATTAGTGCTTCATATGCAAAGAATCATACTGATAAATATAAAATATAATAATAATAATACAATATCTAATATATATATATAAAAAGTATCTAATCTAATCTAATATCTAATCTAATATACATATATATTTAGCGTTGATTTTGTGTTGCCACGTGGCAACACATACTTTTTTCTATTTTTTTTTTATTTTTCTTGTGAAACCTACTACTTAAATAATAAAATAAAATTAAAAAATAAGAAAAAAAGGCACTGACTGCGATTTTATTTATGTGTTATTTTATTTTATTTTTTTTTGTTTTTTAGAAATATATAATATTAAAAAAATAAATATATTGAGAAGATGATAAATCATATTTTCGATAGTTATATATAAATTAACCGATATAACTATATATTGTTCAATATAAAATAAACAAGTAAATTATACATTATTTTTTACTTCATTCGTTGGGACTTTTTATGTTATATTACCTGGACATGCAGACTAAGAAATAAGGATAATAAAATTATTGGTGAATAATTCTGTATTATAAATGAATTATGCATAAGTTAACGGGTAAAAATACGGCATAATATCCCGAATGAAAAATTTATTTTATAACTTAATTATGTTAAAATGACAATGATAAGTTAATAAAATTTGACTTTAACTCTAGATCTGTTAAGATATCTTAAATTTTCTATCGACACAATTTTCAACTAAATAATAATTTTAAAAATTGCTTATAAAAATATAAATAAAACACCACTAATATTATGTATAAATATCATTTTTGTAATATCTATATTAATTCATCAATCTCCAAATACTTAGAATATTAAAAATTAATTGTATGAAATATTTTAATTTATTTAAATGATTCTCATATTAAAATACATATTTAATAAAAATAATTAATTTTCACAATTCAATACAATTTATATCTATCCGTGCATAACACGACTCCCCTCTAGTACAATATATCTACGTAGAGAGAGATAAGAGATGAGAGAGAAATTGAGATAGAGTGAGATGGACATACAAGAATAAAGGGAGAAAAAAAGAATAGATTTCAATGCGAAAATGAAGTAAAATTCGTATATTATTATCCGGCATAGATTAGTTATTGATCCGATCAAGTCAACATGATGCACATGGATCAACATATACTAGAGGGATGACCAATATATATTTATATATATTTTAATACAATATATATTATATTAGAATTCACTATCTTATAACACTATCGTATGCTGAAATATATATAAATATATATTGATCACCTATGTGACATAGGTTGACTCGGTCAATTAGCACCATATTAACTTATCCGGATCTTAATTCAAAATTTGGCGCCACTATTATCTAATCTCCAATTGAGTGTAAATACCTTATTTATTGGCAAGTTACATCATCGTTGGTCATCTTTTTAACTTTGTTGTCATATCTTAATGCACGACACCTATATATCATAACACTCCATGGGTTGTTATATGATTTGATAACATAATCTAAAATTAAAATTGAAAATAATAAATTAAGGTTACAAAAATTCTATTTAGCTAGTTAATGCTTGATGGCAGGCAGTCTCACGAGGCATGGCCGCACAAATGAAATGCAAGGGCAACGTGCAAAGACGGAAATGCCCTAACCATTATTGCTTTACAAAAGTTAGCATTCACACATTTCCACTCCTTTCATTTCCTTTTCTACCGTTTAACAAGCGCTAATCAAGGCTCAGGTGTCATCCTCCGTTTTAACTATTCCTCGCTTTTGGTTGATCTTGAATTGTATCAACTATTTTTCGTCAAAGATCAATCTGCTTCCCTGCCTGCCTGTGTTTTTCCTATTGTCGTCGTCTCCTTCCCTTCCCTTCGACAAACAACAATCTTCATCTTGAGGAATTTTTATTTCGTTCTTGTTCTCGGTTCATCCATCATTCATTCCAGTTTTTCTGCAGCATTTTTTTCTCACTCCAGTGATCACTCACTCTCCCTGACACACAAATCATAGGACCCACCCACCCAACCCGAGATTTCTTTCATTCGTGAGATGGGTTTCGTTTCGATCGATCTCCCAAAGTGAACAGAAAGGCTTCACTCCAACTAACTCGATCTCTAAATGCTTATGCTTGCACAGTACCTCCTGCAATGGAGAATTTACCTTATGCAGGGCAGATGAAGATGATGATGATCACTGCAGCAGCATTTGCTGCCACTCTTTCGCTGTTCGCCGCCGTCGTTCTAACCGCTACAGACCCAAATGACTTGGCCGTACTGCAGGAGTTCCGGAAGGGTTTGGAGAATGGGGAGCTGCTGAAATGGCCGGCCAATGGCGGGGACCCCTGTGGGTCTCCCAGATGGCCGTACGTGTTCTGTTCGGGCAACCGAGTCACTCAGATTCAGGCCAAGGGTTTGGGTCTCAAGGGTCCTTTACCTCGGAGCCTGAACCAGCTGTCCATGTTGCAGAACCTTGGCCTCCAGAGGAACCACCTCAGCGGGGAGCTCCCCAGCTTCAGTGGCTTGTCTCAACTGCAGTTTGCCTATTTGGACTACAACAATTTCGACTCCATCCCCTCCGATTTCTTTCGCGGGCTAATCAGTTTGGAGTCCCTGGCTTTGGACCACAATGCCCTTCTCAACTCATCCTCTTCCTGGTCCCTTCCGGCGGACTTGCAGGGCTCTGCTCGCCTCAAGAACCTGTCTCTGATAAGCTGCAATTTGGGCGGCCCTTTGCCTGAGTTCCTAGGAAAGATGTCGTCCTTGGAGGTTTTAAAGTTGTCGCTGAATCGCTTGACTGGGGGCATCCCGGAGACCCTCGGGGGGTCTCTCCTGACGACGCTTTGGCTGAATGAGCAATCCGGGTCGGGTATGACCGGCCCGATCGACATTGTCGCAAGTATGTTGTCCCTCACCACTCTCTGGCTCCATGGGAACCATTTCTCAGGTAAAATCCCGGACAAAATTGGTGACTTGGTTTCTTTGCAGGATCTTAATCTCAACGGCAATGATCTTGTTGGTTTGATTCCTGCCAGCTTGGCAAACATGCGTGCCTTGAATCGTTTGGATCTGAACAACAACAAGTTCATGGGTCCTGTCCCTAAATTCAGATTCAACGCCACCTACTCATCCAATCCCTTCTGCCTGCAGCCTGATCCCATTCCCGGGGCCTTGTGTGCTCCTGCTGTTATGGCTCTGTTAGAGTTTCTCGACGGGGTGAACTACCCTGCCAGGCTCGTGGCTTCCTGGTCGGGTAACACGCCCTGTTCCTGGCTCGGAGTTGGATGTGATCCGGCTGGGAAGATCATCAACTTAAACTTGCCTAATTGGAACCTTTCGGGTGTGTTAAGCCCTTCCATTTCAGCTCTTGATTCGCTGTCCCATGTATATCTGCAGTCCAACAATCTGTCGGGTCCCATCCCTTCCGACTGGACTAGTCTGAAATCGCTGACGCTTTTGGATTTGAGCGGGAACAATCTCTCCGGTGATGTCCCGAAATTTAGCAACAAGGTCAACCTTTTCTTGCAAGGCAATCTTCTGTTAGGTCATTCCAATGGAACCCCGCCGCTGCATGTCCCCCAATCTTCGTCAATGTCAAATGATGGTTTCGGGGATGGGAAAGGGACAAGCTATAACTATAAGCTGGTTGTCATCATTGCCTCTCTTGCTGCCATTGCATTGTTAATTTGTTTCGTCATCATCCTGATCTCTGTATACTTTCGTAAGAAGAAGAGGAGGAGGAAGGATGATCAGTTAGCTCCTAGCTCCCTTGTTGTTCATCCCAGGGATCCATCAGACGCAGACAATAATACGGTGAAGATTGCGATCGCAGACAACGGCGCTGCCTCAATGATCACAACTGGCTCTGCTGCAAGTGTGAACAGCGGCGAGTCGCATATCGTCGAGGCCGGAAACCTCATCATATCTGTCCAGGTCCTCCGCAATGTCACCAAGAATTTCGCCCCTGAGAACGAGCTTGGGCGGGGTGGGTTTGGGGCAGTCTACAAAGGTGAGCTGAACGATGGCACAAAAATCGCTGTGAAGCGGATGGAAGCGGGAGTGATGAGCAGCAAGGCGCTCGATGAATTCCAATCGGAGATCACAGTACTTTCCAAAGTTCGCCACAGGCATTTGGTATCACTTCTGGGATATTCAATAGAAGGAAACGAAAGAATTCTTGTGTACGAGTACATGCCTCAGGGGGCTCTCAGTAAGCATCTTTTCCACTGGAACAAGTTTCAGCTCGAGCCTCTATCGTGGAAACGGCGCCTGAATATCGCCCTGGACGTCGCCCGGGGAATGGAGTACCTCCACACATTAGCTCATCAGAGCTTCATACATAGAGATCTAAAATCTTCCAACATTTTGCTCGGGGATGATTTTCGAGCCAAAGTGTCCGACTTTGGTCTTGTTAAACTCGCACCCGATGGAGAGAGATCTGTTGTCACGCGGTTAGCCGGCACATTCGGTTACTTGGCACCTGAATACGCCGGTAACTAATCATTTACATAACTAATTTTCGACAAAAACAACGACATGATTTGTATGTACGTATGTATGTGTAGTTATGGGTAAAATCACGACGAAAGCAGACGTGTTCAGCTTCGGTGTGGTTCTAATGGAGCTACTGACGGGGATGACGGCACTGGACGAGGAGAGAGTGGAGGAGAGGCAGTACTTGGCGTCATGGTTCTGGAGCATCAAATCGGACAAGGAGAAGCTGATGGGGGCGGTGGACCTGAGTCTGGACAGGGAGGAAGAAATGTTTGAGAAGATGGTTGGGGTGGTGGCAGAGTTGGCTGGTCACTGCACCGCAAGGGAGCCGAGCCAGAGGCCGGAGATGGGGCATGCGGTGAATGTGCTGGCGTCGCTGGCCGAGAAATGGAGACCGGTGGACGACGATGGGGAGGAGTGCTGTGGGATCGACTACAGCCTTCCGCTCGACCAAATGGTGAAGGACTGGCAGCAGGCGGAAGAGAAGGATTCTAGCTGCTGCTTCGTGGACTTGGATGATAGCAAGGGCAGCATCCCAGCTAGACCTGCGGGATTTGCCGACTCCTTCGCATCCACGGATGGCCGTTAATTAATTAGCCGTTACTTACTTAGTAACTTACTAAGACCTAGCCTCCAATATGCCCTTACCCGTACCCGTACCCGTACCCGTACCAGTCAAATGCTTGGAGTTGGCTTCTCTTTTCTTCTCTTATCAAATTTGTGATTTAATTAATTTGTTTAGTTAGTGCTTGTTACTTCCAAAGTGTTCATGGCATGGACATATATAGTAGTGCAATAGTCCTGTAGTTGCAGTTGCAGCTGCAGTTGCAGTTGAGTCAATGGCGTAATACATAGGGGCAAGGGGGCTAGCCCCCCTCCTCCCACCCCACCCCATCCCTTAATTATTTATATAACTGATGTGAATCCGGTGCCACGGTGGTGAAATTACGTCGGATATATTGTAACATAATTATATACAAATACAAGTAAAAGTAAAAAACAAAAAAAAAAAAAAACAAAAAGTACACGGTAAAAACTTATAAATTATAAAATTTAAATAAAAGTAGTTTTTATAAATTATCATCAAATTTTAAAGTGCCAAAAAATAGAAAAATAAAAGAATTATAATTATAGAGATCGTTTTATAACGTGTGTATATTCTTCACACCAATCTATTTTCATAACTTGAAACACCGGAGATAGAGCATCAGTCAAATAATTTTTTAACATTGTCTTCCTATTTATCTGAAAATATAAGTAAAATATATAAAATATATTTCATAGTATAAAATTATATAAAATTAATATATAAAATATACGTGGGTCGTCATAGACTTGACAGATAGATCTTCAACATAGAACATATATTTGAGATGTCTGTCGAATAACTTGAATTTCATTGTCCCACTACTATCATACGCTTTTATGTAAACTTGATATACAAAATTAGTTAAAAAGTTCCACATGCTATCAACATCAATTTCTTGGACACGAACAATCATTCGGAAAAATTTTACCTGCAAAAAATAGAGTAATTACTTTAAATAATATTAAACGAGTAGTTGAAGATATATTTAAAATTATATATCTAACCCCATCTTGATGTTTGAAGTCACGTATCCGAATTCGTTTGGCATTTGATATTTTCAATAAATCTGATATTGAAAATATCTTTGACCTAAACAATGACACCAACTTCTTCGCACAACAATCGCCTCTAAACCTAAATAAAATAGTTAAAATCAATTACAATTAGAAGATTGAGAAAAAAATATATTTGATATAAATATTAAGTTTAATTACTCACCAATTATGAAAAGTTTTGCTAAAGCTCGTCGGTAGATTTATATACATTTTAGTATAATGATGCGTGTAAATACACGTACCTATAAAATTTTGTAAACAATAAGTATGTAAATAAAAAAAAAAAATTACAATTTAACATAATCAATGTAAAGATAACAATATAATTTCAATAAAAATATAATAGAAAGTTCATTGTATACCTTCAAAATTCTTTATCATAACACCACATGTCTATATAGTAATATTTTTTTGAAATATATTCTTTAGCATTTTACCGTCATCCATAGCATGTTTGATACGTAAAATTATGCAAATGATTGCCATACTTAGTTATATATATATATATATAAAGGCAACAAAAGTAAATATAGTACTAAAAAATACTTCTAAAAAAACGAAAACAAAAACAAAACAAAAATAAAATAAAATAGAAAGTAACAATTTACCTTGTATCAAGAAGAATAATCTCACGATGGGATAACCATTCTCCGATAAGTACCACCAATCATTCACGTAAATAACCAGTCTGACTACATCTGCAGAACAATGTAAGAAAATAAATTATAAATTATAAATTTAAGATTAGCAAACTATTATAGATATATATATATTTACGCTTATAGTTCAATATACCAATGAGTTGGTCTTCTCTATTCACATGGCAATCTAATTCATTTAGAGGGACAATATTGTGGAATTCGCGCAGAAAATCTTCGTCGGAATCATGTGAATCTTCGATGGTCACATTATGACGCAATATTAGTTGGTAACGGTGAGGTACTAATCTGTATATTTTACTGCTATTATCACTTGTGCGTTACGAATATTATAAATAGTCCTTTCTGTAAGACATGAACTGAATCGATCAATATTAATCCAATGAACTATGCCTTCCATGACAAATTCCTGCAGTGAAAATTTTCGTAAGAAAATATTATAAATTATGACAATAAAAAAATAATAATATCAAAACTGTAGATATCTAACTATAGAATGCAATTGCAAATATATATATATACTTACATTAGCATCAACAAACAACATCTTCAAAACTCTTACATTAGATTTTGGATTTCGCACATCCAATAATCTAATTAATCGAACTTTAATAGTAATGTTACTACACTCTGGCGTTAAATTTTTCAATCCATGAACAATTTTTCAATCCATGAACAATTGCATCTGCATCATCGGAATAATTACATATCCAATTGTAAGTTATAAATAAATTAATAGTAGTATCAAACAGTAAAATAACTCAGGTAATTAATAAAGCCGTAATTCATCGCAAATGTGCACAACATTAACTACATGGTATTATCAAAGATAGAAAAGAAAATGAAGTCTAATTACGAATACAATCATGTACTTTTGGATACACTATATTCCTCGTAAAATTGAATGGGATACCATTTCTATTCTGGATGACAATTTTTATCCATATGGATTTGTCACCCGCGACAATGCAACATAAAGCATCCCATGAGCAAAAACAAGATTTGGTAGGTATAACCCGACACTATCAAGTGTTTGACCCTGACTTTTGTTTATTGTCATCGCAAATGCCAGTTTGATCATAAATTGTCTCCTTTTCATCTGAACATATGTTTGTGTTTGAGTTGTGGTCAGTATGATCCATGGAATTAATACTTCCTCACCTACATGCGAACCGCTGATGATTCGAGCCTCAAGAACCTTATCACTCAACTTTAAAACAATAAGTCGAGTTTCATTACAAAGACCCAACGGTTGATTGATATTCCTAAGAAGAATTATTTGTGCACCTTATTTAAGCTCCAAACAATGATTGGGAAACCCAGAAAGATTTATCATATTCAATAACTTGGGAGGGTTCAAATGTTGTTCTGAGTTTTGAGCTTCATTCGGTGCTATAGTATCGGCACTGTAATACTTCCGGATACCACTAGGAAGCATAGATAACATCGTGGAATTAATCTCGTCAACATCCTCATTTTTTTGTGCTAAAATGGCTCGTTCTTTCAAACAAGTCGAGTCTTTATACCTTTCAATCAAATGGGGATATTTTTCTGCTATTAGAGATTTGATATTATTATCTCCATCTTTGAATAGAAACCACTATGGTATTTCAATCCAATCAGATTCCTCACCATCTTGAAATTTCAGATACTTAACTTTTCCTTCACCTATCATATTTACCCATTCGGCAAAATGACGTATTTCATCAAGTAAATCTCGTGAGCCATCTCGTGAGGTCAATCTCATATTCATCTTCAAATGGATAACTTTGCATTGATTCCAAAAATTAGAATAATGAAGAGAAGCTTCCAAAATAGCCTCACGCCTTCCTTTAGTGACGACTGGCAAGATCTGTTTAAAATCTCCCCCTAATATGCATAACTTTCCACCGAAAGGCTTATTAGGGCAGAAATTTTCAGAAATTTTTAATATATCTTGCAATTTCCTATTCACCGCCTCAAATCCATGGTTATGCATCATTGGTGCCTCATCCCATATTACTAATGAACACTGTTGAATCAAATCTGCCAAATTTGAGTTGACATCAATGGAGCAATGTGATGAATCATCCAATTCAATTGGTATCTTGAAACGTGAATGTGCGGTTTGACCCCATGGCAGCAACAAAGCTGCAATTCCAGATGATGCAACTGATAACACAATTTTTCTATGTTATCGAAATTTAGCAATGATGGTCTTCTACAAATATGTTTTTCTCGTTCCCCCACTCCCATTGACGAAGAAAAGCCCTCCATGTTTACCCTCGTAAGATTCAATAATTTCATTGTAAGGATGGAGTTGATCAATATTCAATCCTACATGCAATGAATGAAATGAATGCTCCTCATTACATGCATTGTAATCGAGCTTTTCTCGTATCAGTCTATTTGATAGATAGGTAAATGATCTACCGGATGGTTGTGGCATCGGGGGAAAATCTGCAAGACTCCTAACATTTTTGCTAAGTATCAATTCAATTTCTCGAAGACCCCAATCCTTGAGATCCATATCACTTATACAAATGTCATTCCCTGACTCTCTTCTTAAATTGTAGAGCAAATAGTCAACCATTGACTCCAATGTTGTTCCCATAGGTTAACAGGGTTGGTTAGCTCAGGAAATATAAGCATTGTTTCAAACATATTTTGCAATTTTGAAGAAGAAACCCAACTTGCAGCTTCACAATGCTTCATGCCATTCATTGTCATCATCCAATAAACCACGTACATCACATGCTTGCTTAAAGGTGGAATAAACAATTCCATTAAATGTTCGAAGATCTTCAAAATATTGAGATCCACAAACAATGTAAAGCAACATCCGCAAATAATATTTCTCTCCTGAACTTGGATGTGCATATGGAAGTCTCTCAATACTCCTACCCCGTTGTCTTATAACCCATTCTTTTGTACGTCTTTTCCAAACCCATGGAGTAGTAAAATTCACATAAGTTAGGCTTCGCGCAGCACCGCTACTTTTGTTGGCTTCAAACCACTTAGTCAACATCATATATTGCACACCAACACGATCGACAACGCTGACCAAACTATCTCTTTCATGAAACACTACATATTGTTGATTCGGCAAGTGATATTGCAAGCGCCACAGTTGGAGAATGCTTTTGAAGTTCAAACTCATAAATTCTCCAGCAAGCTTCAATGGCCGATACATAACGACAATCTAAGTATTGTTTGACTTCATCAATTCTTTTGCGTCTCTGATCATTTTTCATTGAATCTTCAACATTTCTTTGAAGAGAAATAATTGTCCGATCTGTCCCCTTACACATGTATTTGTACATGTACTTCATTAATTTTGGAGATGCGCACTTCTCTACATTGATGTGAGCATTGAAAAACACAAGTAGGTCTCGATTGTATGGAACAATCCAACGATTGTCCAATTCGATACCATTTACAAAAAATATCTTTGAAGGATCATATTTACGTCTATATGAAACAAATCCAATTTTATCTATCGTAGTATATGAGTAAAACTTCTTTCGATAGTGTTTACTACACTTTCCATCGACTATACACGGAGCGTTGGGGTTATATACTCCACATGGTCCATGAACCATTTGTCTTATAACAATATTATAGACAAGTGGATCAACATTCTTATCAGGAATTTCGGCACAAATGTACCTATCAATTTTTTCTAGAGTGATTGGTTTAAATCCCTCTTGAAGAGACAACGTAATATGCGAGTTAGGCAATCCTCATTTTTGAAACTCAATAACATGAACATCTGTTGTAGATAAATAAGAATAAATAGTTATTTTGTAGATATTGAAATCATTTTCAAAATAATAAGTTACATTATAGCATACCTGCAATTGCTTGGCCAAAGAACATTTTATCAGTCAAGAGCTTCAACATTTCTTTATGTTTAATCTTGAATACTCTTGCCAGTAGATCAGGACGATCTTCAGTACGTTGATTTGGAAGTTTTGATAATTCTCTAGAAATTTCTGGCCACTTTGGATTGCATGTGAACGTAATGAGAAAATCTGGAGGTCCAATTGTTTTACATATTGCCCATGCATCATGATAATGTTGCAACATGTTTCGTGGACCTCCAGTAAATGAAAATGGTAGAATAATCCTCATTCCCACCCCACTAGCATTGATATCCCCCTCAACTAAGGCATCAGCGAGACCTTGATATAAATCTGCGCGCAACTCAACCTAATGGGTCTTTATGTATTTCAAACATTGTTGTTCAATTGCTGCATAACAATCCACTGCAAGTTGTTGAAACAAACGCCCTCATCGTAAATGAGTTGTGTCTTCTGTTGATCTGTGTTGGAAGCGAAATGCCCAAAATTCTCGCATTGAAACATTTTTTATTCTTCTATGTTGTAACTCCACATTGTAAGGAATCCCAATTCTCCACCCGTCACTCCCATACGGAAAAAGTAATGGGTATTGTAATGGAATATAGGAAGGATGGGTCTCACTAATTCGCTTTAGATATCCATCTGTTTTGCAGACAATGATGTCGTGACTTTGTACAGTATTTCTATCTTGACCAATAATCAGTGCGGCAATCTCATTCGTAGAAGGCATTGTGTACCATCGATTGCTTCTACTATTCAGAATCCGTACATGTAAATCAACTCCACTATCATGTTGCAATGCATCCCTTGCTGAACGGAAAATTTGAACGTAAAGGTTCACATCATCCCACATAAGTTTTAATCCCTTAACTATAGAAGAAATTTCGGGATTACACCTATCTCTTCCTAAGACAGATAGTCGATTGCGCACTTCGTTCTCAATGTCACAAATGTACAACTGGACAAATTTGTTATGCTTTCCTCCCAAGGAAATCAATGATCCAATTAGGTGAAAATTTTCTCCAGAAATTCTATAACATAATGGTCCTCTCCCATCCTGAATTGATCTATCAATTTTTCCACCAATTGATGTGAAACTAAAGATCGAATTGAATGATCTGATATTTTCCATAAAATTACGATCTTTTAATAAGCCATCTAGATACTCAGGAGGATTTGGCAGTAAAGGCAAATACACCTTTCCACGTTGGCAACACAAACCAAACTTAGGACTTTGTTTGGAACTACGAATGACTTTTTCCTCCAACCACATAAAAGCGCCACAAAACTGACAAATAATATTTCTTTCACTTAAAATTGATGTTGTTGTAGCACGGGTTGACAATATTCGAGGTATAATTTAAAAAATAGTAATATTGAAGATCAACTAAAATTGTATAATAGTTTGACACACAACTTAAAAGTAAAAAAATAAATATCAAGCTTATTGAAAGTATCAAATGTCAGACAAATTCGGGTACACAATTTCAGACATGAAGATGGGCTATATATATAATTTTAAATATACATTTGACAATATTTTACTATTATTTAAGAATAAGAAATGCAAAAAATAAATTATAAACTAAGATACATACTCTTTCCATCCCGCAAGAAGGTTGTCATTTGATTTTTGCGTCATTGTACTTAACATTAAAAATATCCTTATATTTGAATAATTTATTCAACAAATATCATTGTATTCATATTATAAGAGACTAATAAACGTATTTTTGTCATTTTCTTTTTATTTGTACTATGTATTGATATAATAATTAATATTCAAATATCAACACGCAAAAAGCCAATGACAACCTTTTTGCGGGACAGAGGGAATATATAATTATATTACAATAAAGTTAATATAATTTTACCGTTCATAGCACAAGATTCAAGTAAGTTTATATATTAATGATAAGTATTATGGATACTTATTTAAATAAAAATATAAATTCATTGTAAAGAATAAATAAATTTGATATATTATTATCTTGTTCGGTAGTACTATTCACGATTGCCGAATTTGTATTTTTCTGTCGATGATAGTCAGTAGAAAGTGGTACAATCACTCCATCTAAGAACAATAGTCCATATACTAATTATTAAGTATAATTGATGCATAATTTATATTGTAAAAAATTAGTAAAATATACTGTAATCATAGTAAAATATGAGTTATATGTAGTTAAAAAATTTAACATTTTTTTTATAATACCTTTATCTCCATGGCTATTCATGTGCACAGTATCTGATCATTCATTACCGATGCCATGAAAATTCATGCCTAAAAATATATAAAATGTAAAAAATTACTAAAACATACTATAATCATAGTAAAATATGAGTTATATGTAGTTAAAATATTTAACAATATTTTTTTTAATTTTTATAGTACATCTATCTCCATGGCTATTCATGTGCACAATATCTAATCCTTCGTTACCGATGCCATGAAAATTCATGTCTGTAAATATATAAAATGTATGAAAAAAAAATTACACAATATATTATTATATAAATTATTTATTTTAAGTATATAAATTAGACATAAGCTGACCGAGTAGTTGCATATCTAAAATGTTGGATATGAATTAATATAATATTGAAATACCCAAATTTAAATTACTCTTAATAAACTTAATAATTTATCAATTTGTAAATAAAATTTTTAATTAAATGTATTTGAATACAGACAGTAAATAAATTTATTATAGTGCTACCTTGATTTATATTTACTATCATGTCATTTGCATTTTCTTCTTCACGATGCTCTTCAATAGACGATGGGATTACTTCTTCATCTTAAAAACCAATAATTATAATTAATAAAATAAAAGTTATATGTAAATTGAATATATAATTTAAATTAAATACCTTCGTGATCATGATCAATCATATGTATATAATTTGATTCACTATCATTAACTTCACGAAAGTTAGTTGAATCACCTATCATATATATATATATATATATTTGAATTCAGTGTAGGACCCACCAAAGTGAAAAACTTGAATTTCTAGCATTTTTGAATTTTTTTTTAAAAAATTTAATCGGTGAAAGTATTTGATTGGCTATTTTGTTTAATTTATTTAAGACTTTTATTTTTGTAATTAAATTTATCTCAATTACAACTGATATATACACAAAATATTTTAATATTAATTATAAATAATAAAAAAAAAACTACCTTCAATCTAATTCATTTAAAATGGACAAACCCTAATTTGTTATCACAATCGCCGTCCCTCCAATATATTATAGTTTATGCCCCTATTTATGACCATGTTCTGAACTCGGTCATTTTTTTTTGTCTGTGTTCATGCCCGTGTTATCAGCACAACCATATTCACGATCTTGTTCTCAACACAGTCATATTCCTACCCATGTTTATGACCTTCTTGACATAATCATGTTCATGGCCCTGTTTTGAATATGGTCATATTCATTATCATATTCACTTTTTGTTCAAATTATTTTATACATATATTTATATTTCAACGAAAATATATTTTACAATTATATAAAAATAGAAAAAATGATTATATTTTAATAGCAAAAATACTATAAAAATAATAAATGAAGATATCTTTTAAATAATTATAATTATATACTCCCTCGGGTCTAAATCAAATACGCCTTTTATAATAGATTAAAAAATAATAGTATTTTATTAGTTAATGAAAGTGTGTACAAAATTTTAATATTTTTTTTCTTTGATTTTATATATTAAGTAATTGTACATATAATGATATGTTTGTAATTTAAATAAAAGTTAATTGGTATGTTGGTATTAATGTATTATTATTTTTTCTACAATTTTTTTTAAGAAAATGATACTTTGAAGTGAGATAGACGAAAATGGTGAAAACTGTACTTTGCATTTGGATGGAAGGAGTATAATTTTTAAAATTTATATTAAATATTTAAAAATAATTGAAATTTATAGTTTTAAAAATAAAATATATAATATTACTTTAATTTAAAAAATTTTAGTTATGCATGAATTATATAAATGATTAATTTTGTTTTCAATTTTTTCTAATTAAAATATTATAATTTTTTAAAAATAATATTTATATTTATTATATTTAAATTATAAATTAAAATTATTTTAAGAATTTTACTATAAATTTTGAGAATTATATATAAGTATGATTATTAAAAATATAAATTTATTATTTTTGTAATTCTTTTGCAATTATTTTTTGAAATATTAAAATTTAATTATTATTTTTATTATGAAATAATTGTAAAAAATATTTTCATAAAAATATAAATAAATATATATATCAAATAACTAATAAAAATATAAATATATATATCAAATAATTTGAATAAAAAAGTATTAGGTAATAATGAATAAAACCTAAAACATGATAATAAATATGACCGTGTGTGATAACAAGGATATGTACATGGGTAGGAATATGGTCGTGTTTAGAATATGCTCGTGAATAAGGGCATGAACATGGTCATATTTAGTGGAGGATAATAAACATGACCATGTTGAATCCAACAAAACCGTGTTGGCTGTTTGAATTGCTCAATCACCTTATTTAGTAATCCAATAGGGTCGTATTCAGTCTCTTTTAGTAATCCAATAGGGCCGTATTCAGTCTCTGTCAGCTGTTATGAAACTAAAATTGATAAATTTTAATTTTAATATGATCAAATTAATAAAAAAAATAATAATTTTTTTTAAAAGAAAAAGTAATGAGATAAAAATTAATAATTATGATATAAAATTTTACCAAAAATGTTTTTTTTGCTCTTTTTTACTATATAATTATATTTAGTTACTTTATATTATCATTTAATACATTATATTTTTATAAATTCATATTAATTTATTTAAATTCAAGATTTAATTAATTAATTATTATATTTATTATTTTAATCGTCGTTTATACTATGAAAATTAAATTAATTATTATTATTTATATACTTTTATATAATAATAATTAATTAATATATATATCTAAATAAAATTAAAAACAAAATTAACAACTTTTGAATAAAAATATAATTTAAAAAATTAGAAAATGAATAAATACAAATTATTGTTTCAAACCGAAAACATCAAACCTATTGATAAGTCTACTGCTAGGGGTGGGATGAGTTGGATTTTAACCAATAATTCAAGATAGAATTTTGGTATCCTTCAAATTTAGGAATATCTTGAATATTTTTAATCCATTGGATCGTTTCTATTGGCAATCCAACGATTGAGTTTGATTGAGGGTATTTTGATAATTCAAAAAACTAATTAAGATATCTCATTAAAAAAATCAATTAGAAAAAATTATTGTAACTATATCCTATAATTTCGGGATTAAATTTTTCTTAAACAAAACAGAAACATTTGCAAATAATTACTTTCAAAATTGTATACATTCAAATTATAATGATGTATACAATATCACAAAATGATGTCTCTATAATTCTATTATAATATTTTACCACGAAATACTTTTCTTATATAATTTAATTAAACGATGTCCAAATAAATATATTATGATACATTTTATCAACTCGCCGATTATGATATAACAATTATTTCATTAAAAATCATATATATATATAATATTGACTTTTTTAATCATTCACGTCACATCTTATTTACCAAGTCCTAAATTCACCATGCAGATACCCCTTCTTCCGTTCCGTTGCCTCCGTCTACAACACAGTCTGCCTCCGCCGCCGCCGACCTCTCCAGCCATGCCCGCCGGCGTCAAATAACCAGCCCCACCATCGATTCCTTCTATATCTGCACATCCGCATTTGACGGAAGTCGACGACGACGCGCAATTCCTCTTTTATTTAAAATTTCACGTTTGACGATCTTCCAATGATGAATTCAACTAAACGAGATCCTGAGACTTCTATTAAGCTCAAAACAAAGAGAACGAAGCACATTCAAGTACCATATGTGCCAAAAAAAATAGCAGATGATTTCAACAACAAGAAACTCTTTCGGCCAAACGGACAAATTTGGTGGTTGTGTTTTCAATATTTTTTTTATGGTGATAATGAGTATATGTGCATTCTTGATTAGTCTTTTTTAGAAAAAAAATATCAACACAGTTATTTCTAAAAATCTTTTTGTTCCCTCCGGACAAGTACGAAGTATATTCATGACACATATGAAGTTATCTTTTTTTCTTTTTTTTTTTATGTGAACTTATTAAAATTATGAATACGATCTGCATCTATATGAATTTATATTCCCTTAATTTATGCTAAAACAAAGTATTGAATTATTAATTATTAAAACAAATTACATATCTACCCATAACTGCAATCTCATCCGTCGATTAAAATTTTGATCGGACGATTGAAATTTTTTCAAGATGGTCATGAATATTCTATTCAGTACCATACCCGAATTATTGAAGATAAATACATAAGCTATCAAAAACTTCTTTATAACTTCTCTATTTTCTTTTCTTAAAATTCTCTCTACACAAATTTATATTTCTTTTAACTCCAAAATTTTATTTTTACTCTTCTATAAACACTAATTCACAAAATTACCAAACATATTTAGAACCTTCAACCCGTGCAATATTCTTTTACCCTAACAGTGTTTGTTTGATCGTAATCGCCACTACCGTCGTCGCCATCCGCCTACCCCACCGTCCACCATACCGCCCACAACGGCTCCCCGTCAAAAGTAAGTGTGTATTTTTAGTTTTATGTTATTTTCTAATTTTAATTTCATTTTCTAGTATTATTTACTTCTTTATTGTGTTTTATATGTTCATATTTATTTTATGTAGTTATTTTGTTTGGTCATTTATGTTGAAAATATTCAAAATATTATCACAATGTATTTGTTTGTTTTATGTCTCGATTGCATTTTTTTTTTGGCTTGATAATATATATTTTTTTGTGTTTATTGAATAGAATAGATTGATTTTTTTTATTTTTTATTTTTTTGTGTTAAATTTTTTAATTTATTGAATACATATTGTCTTATATTTGTAAGAAATTTACGGAGAAAGAAGATATTAATAAAAAAAAAATAAAAGAAATAATTGTTGATAATTATCGGACAATTATTACAAAATGTATTATGAATACGGTCAAGTCTTGTTTGTAGAGTTAAATTATTTGCACCGGTGATATAGTTTAAGATAACTAAATGTTTAATTAAAATTAAAAAAATTAAAAATATAATTAAAGTTTATAATCATATTTTAAAAAATAAAATGATAAATTATATGAGAAGATAGAAATAGAAAAAATGGATGTTTTAAGTAGGATTAAAAAAATAGTATATATATAAAATAAGATATGATATGATTATTTTAATATATTTATATATTAGTTTTTTGAAGATCTATATAGAATTATATTTTAAAAAATATATTGATTGAACAAATTCTTTATTTTTATTTTTTATTTTTAAAATAATATGAATATGAGCTAACCTAACCATCTCGCTTAGACTTGCTTAAACGGTTTAAACCGTTGGATCCAGTTCCAAACCACTAGTTACTATTTGTCATAATTTTAAACCGAAATCGAATATTTTGAATAATGATTTTGATTACGATTCTGATGATTTCGATGATGGTTTATAAATCGACGGTTTTTGTTTATAAACTGCTGGTTACGGTTTGAATCGCCGGTTTATATAAATTTATTTTTAATATATTTTTTTATTTTTTATTTTTCTAAATTTGAATTTTATTTAAACAATTAATTTTATTTTTTGATATTATTTATTTATTATATAAAAATTATATAAATAATATAAGTAAATCTAATAAATAATTAAATTGATTTTTAAATTAAGAATAAATTATAAAAATATTAATGTAATATGACATAATAAGATAATTTAAATTAAATATAATTATACAATAAAAAATTATATTAGAGCATTATTTAATTCATATTAATATTATTTTATTTATATAAAATTTTAATTATAAATATATTATTTATTATTATAAAATACTTTTGCCCTAAACAATATTTTACATATCCACGACCGCCTCAGACCCGCAGCGCACTCGTTCGATTCTTTCTTCTTTTCAATTATTTCCTTTCTTCTCTGTCTCGCTCCTCCTACAGTCCTCCTTTTCTCCTCCGCCTTTTCTTCTTCTTCTTCCTTCCTTCTTCACCTATTCTGCTGCGTTTGCGACCCGGTCGGGCAGATTCAAAAAAAGCAATAACCGGCGAGGTTTGAACGTTCACGGTTTGGGAAAAGCTCAAACCGAAGCCGAACCGGCTAAACCACGGTTTCGATTCGATTTGGGTACGGTTTCGATTTGAACCGTAATTTGCGTTTCAGAAACCTATGAACCGCCGGTTCGAACCGACGGTTTAGGCAAATCTAATCTGGCCAAGCCCTGAGGCCTATATCATATGTGAATCCTTCAACAATTTTAATTCCGTTCTTCTGTTTATAAACCCACGGTTTCACTCGTCATTCTTCTTCTTCTTTTCAACTCCATTCAAATCCCCCGCCGCTTTCTTCCTCTTCTCCGCCGTCGTCGTGAAAACTCTTAGTATATTTTTCTGCGATTAAGCCGATTCCTCTGCAACATTGGGTGGAGAACGGAGAGAAGGCCGAGCGAGAATGGTTAAACACAAATCACAATCCAAAAAACCACAAAAAGGAGGGGTGGACTTCAAAGTAACGACAGTTGTTTCTTTTGATGTTTCAATTTTCGGTTCAAGGTTTTATTTGGTGATGTTTGGGTTCCGAATTTACAATTGGAATTTGACTTTGCAGAAAATTAAGCGGAAGATTGGCAGGAAATTGCCGCCTCCGAATAATACTACAAACACCGAGATAAAATCCAAAGCTATTGTTCTTCCCGAACAGAGTATAGCGTCTGAAAAAGCAGGTTTAGCGGTCAGCAAGAAAGGACTGACACTCAAGGAGCTTCTTCAGCAGACTAGCCATCACAATGCCAAAGTCCGGAAAGGTTCAGCTTATTATTTATTTTTCGTTTAAGCTATTTAATCCAGTCTAGATAATAGTCTTCTTGTTTTTGGTTTTCGATTTCTGGGGAAAGATAGTTTCAATTGCAACACGTTCTGGAGTAATACACGTTGTCTTCAATGCGCTATTCCTTGTTATAACTGGTAAACACTGATTATTACTCTTTCTCAGATGCATTGCTGGGGATGAAGGATATCTTGCTTAAGCACCCAGTTGAGCTGAAGTTGCATAAACTTGCAGTTGTGGAGAAACTTCGTAAACGGATTAGTGATGATGATAAGATTGTCCGTGAAACATTGTATCAACTATTCAAGTCCGTAATATTACCCGGCTGTGCAAAGGTATGGCTTTTATTTTCTTATCAATATGATTATTTCATCTATGATTTTCTAGTTTATATAGTTAGCATAATGCATTTGATTTACACATTTTCCGATTATGATTTTTAACTTTGTCCAGTGGATTTCTTTGTTTTCTGCTAAGATTTAATTTTACATAGCTTGACTAAGAAAGTGCCTTACATTAGTAATCATATTCTGTGTGGCAAATCAGCTTGTAAGCTAATTGAATTTTAAATTATAGATGGGATAAGTTGATTTTTCTAGGGGATCATACATTGGTAATTATTTCTCTTGGGAATGAGTGTTGGATGTAAATAAAAATAGAAATCATTTTTAGCTCATTCTATTTTTTTTTTTAAAATAATAAATAATTTAAACAATGCCAGAAAAAATAATTCTTACTGATCCTTACATTGTGATTCTTATAATTACTTATTCTATCATATTCCTTTCAAAATATTTTCAAATTCAATATCAAGGAAATCAGGTAATCAAACAAAATATAAATGAACTCAAAACAGCCCTTTTAGATTTACTTGTGAACTTGTGAATAATGATTATTTGGCTTTAGTTTTGGCTTTAGTTTGTTTATGTAAATGAACAAGGGTTTGATGTTTAAATCTGTGTTTGTATTAAAGCTTGATTTGTCTGTAGAGGCTCACTGAACACAATTCAGTTCACGAATAGTAAGGACAAACTTGTTGGATAAATGGATATGATCTAGCACTTATCTTATATGTGATATATTTAAAAATTAAAGAGCAAATAAACATATATATTCCAACAGTAAAAAATGACATATTTCACTCATTATATATGTATATTTACACCCTGTTCCAAATTTATATTCATTTTAGCATTTTCTAAGTCATTAAGAAAATTAGAAAAAGAGCCAATAATAAGACTGAATTGTCTTTCAATTATATATAATCTTTTCTTGTTTAAAATATTACTAGTGTGTGAAGTGGTAAAAGTGGAAAATACTTTACCGAGAATATAAAGTGACATTTACAACAAAAATAATATATCTAAAATGAACAAATAACTGAGCCATAAACAATACATGTTCTTGAAACCAACACTAAGGGCTTGTTCACTTGCTGTTCCTTTTTGTGCGTATGTGTTCTGGTGTTTTTGAAGTGAAATAATTATTGGGTGTGATATTTTTGGAGGGAATGGAGAGATTGCATAGTAAAAACAAAAAAAGGAAAAAGAAAACTCAGAACAAACCTTGATATTTTGGTCATGTTCGTTTATTTACTTATTAAATGTAAAATTAACAAACACTAACCAATCTTATCTGCATATAGTTCATTGGCAAGGTGTTCCTTTATACCTAAAAATAAAATGTTAACATTAATAAGTCCTTGCATTTTGAGCATATGTGAAGATGACATTAGTATTATTCAACTTTCTATTCATACTTATTCTTACAATTTTGGCATCTCTTTGTTCTTGGTAAGTCATTTATTTCTCTCATATCTGTTATGGATATACTCAGTTCTTATTTGTATGTCGATTTCTTTCTCAACTTCTAATCTACTTCCTTGTTTTTTGTTTATTTTCTTGAGCAAAAAGAAATCATGTGGAGTTAATATTTTGCTTTATGTTTGTAGGATAATCAAGGATCATTGGTTTCGTTGATGACATCATGTATTTTTGATGCCATGACGCATTTAGCGTTTGAAGTGCGAGTAATGGCTTTCAAATTTTTTGACCTTGTTGTCCAGTTTTACCCCTCTTCATTTTCTTCATATGCTGAGAAGGTATGCTCAACTGTTCTTGTTTTCTTATATTGAATTTTCTAATTTTTTTCTTTTTACTCTTTATTTATTTATGTTTTTTCTCTGCCTTTTTTACTTGCATTCTTGATCAATATTCTAGTTTCTAATTTTTTTTCCTATTTGCAGATGCTTGGAAACTATGGAGATATATTACGACAGAACCAATTTTTGGAGGATAAAAGCAAATTAAAAAGCATTCTTACTGGATTGATTCGTTGTTTATCATTGTTACCATGTCATGTGAGAGGAGATCGCTCTGTTAAAAATGTACTCTCTTCTGGTTCGAAGTGTTATTTAGTCACGTTAATTTTTTTTAAGCATAGTCTATTAAAGTATTGATATTAGTCAACATTTTCTGATGATGTCAGAAAAAAGTTCGATCCAACATTTTTGTTTTGTGAAAATAATAGGAATTTTCTTGTGACCTTATTGAGTTATCATGTGTTAGTAATGCTGGACCTGTTGCCAAATTTTTACTCAACGTCTCAAGTAGAACCAAACTTTTCCTTCTTTTACTGCTCGAAACTGACCACAGTTAGCAAGTGACAAATGTAAATTTTACCATTTTAGATTTCGCAGGCCTATATGTAATGTTATATAATTTTTCCTAGACTCTAAGCAATGTTATTTATTTATTTATTTTTGTTTAAGATGAGATTCCTAAGAACTTTCTTCTCATTCTTCATTTTCTGGGTTCCTTTGATATATAAAATTTCCGTATCATTTTTTTTAACACATTCAATTAACAGAGGTGTGTTTATATTTGCTTTTGTTTGTGCATGTGTGCTGGTTCGAGTTATGTATTTATTGTTTATGTTAGTATAAGTTGGCACTGTAATGCATTTTGTGGTATTGTCAATATTCTAGTTTGCTGAATTTCGTTAGTTCTTGTTTCCTATCAGAGTTTACTCTCATTTTACTCCTGTTTTTGTAAAGTAGAATAGATTATTATGGAAGAAGTTGAAGCATAGTACATAATACATAGCTAAGCTTAGTGGAAAGAGGAACCAGACTTACTCATTTGGCTCCTTTTATTTGTAGGATACTTCAATGCCCCATTGTCTTCATGCTTTTGAGCCTGAGACTGCCAATGAATCTGATGGTGAGTTGTTAAAACCCTCCTTTTAACTTCCTTGTGAATTATATGTATTGTCATCTGGTTTTTATCCCAGCCTATAATTAAATTATAAGTTTTCTTGAGACATTATATAACAATATTAGAGTGTTGGTCAATGCACTTAATTTATGTTGTTTTACCTTTGTATTTCTTTCATTGCATATTTGTGTTGGTATGATGTGTTGAAACTTACTTTGTATTTTTATGTTTGCTTGCAAGTGTGTATGCCAATCAGTATATGTTGTACTAAGTCTAATGGATGCCTAATCTTAGTTCTTTCTGGTTTAGAAATACATATGATTGTTCCACTGCAAAAGTAGCAGTGTTGTTTCCGTTTTGAGGCAGGGGTAGTTAGACTTTTATGTTCCATACATTTGGCATGTTTTTATTATCTTTTTGCATCTCAGTTTTGAAAAATATAAAATGCCATGCAGAGTTTGTTGCATCTTTCAAATACCACTCTACTTTGGTAAACCTTTTTTACCACATGCCTTCAATTTGAAAGGTTAATAATTTTTAAATGAATTGCACTTGCTATATAATACTTGAGTTGGTACACAATTCATTTTGGCATCTATGTATCAGATATTTTGTAGCAATCCAAAAATTGCTCTGTTATCACCATTGGATTGTTGAAAATGCTTGGTTCCATAAAAAATAAAGTGGGTAAAGTTCAGGCAATTCAACTTTGCTCAACAGAAAGTTCAAATAAATAACCCATGCTGGAAATCAGGGACAAATTAATGGGGGTGCTTTTGTTCAATGACTTAAAAATTCTAAGATGCTACATTTCTTTTGCATTGTTTATTCTCATTTATTTGGACATTTTTGGTCATGAAGGTTCTTCTGTACTGTTCCTATATGGTCTATGTGAGGGAATAATAAATTAGAAACTTTGCATTTATTCTGAATTTGGCAAAAAAGCACCCAGACACTAATCAAATTCTATCTTTGGTAGGGTTCGCTGACATTTCCAAGAAATTGGAAGATCTTATATCCATTCTAGTTGGAAGTTTTCTGGATTTCATGCCAATGTTGCATATAAACCTAAATCTAGATCTGCAGTCATGTGATTGTCTGCTACTTTTACTTAAGAGCTTGGATCTCATAGTTGGGTTTTTGGTTGGTGAGAGTTGCAAAATTTTATCAGATACTCAATTTCTTCCACACTGTCAAATGCCTGATACAATTGCATATGATCAATTTATCTCGCCAACGATACTAAACAAGTTGTGGGATGTTTTTCCCCTCCAGCTCGCTCATCATCTTTCTGAAAAGGTACTTCTATTGCTCTCCATTCAATACATCATATTTTCATCGTGTATTTATAAAAAAACATCATATTAAATACTTCCTCCGTCCCAAATTAAAGGGTCCTGTGGGGTTTTGTAGTAGATTGAGACATAATAGTATTTTATTAGTCAGTGAAAGTGTGTAAGAGCTTTTGATATTTTTGCCCTTTGACTTTATGTATAAAGTAATTGTGTGTAATGATATGTTTGTAATTTAAGTAAAAGTTGGTATTTTGCTATTAGTGTATGATTATTTTTTTAAAAATAGGAAATTGATACTTTGATGTGGGACAGACGAAAATGGTAAAAAATGTGCTTTGAATTGGGACGGAGGAAGTATTTATTTTATATTAAAATATTACATTAAAAATTTACTTACTATAGAAAGCATCACATCCAACACCAATTTACGTCAAGTCTAATATCTACTTTTTATTCAACCTTTTACCATTCTCAGCACTCTCCAAAACACTTCTAGAACATACCTAAACACAACCCAAAGTTTTCTGCAAATTATATTTAGAGATATTGCTGTTAAGTTTATGTAGTTGTTTGGGTAAACACTGATACCCCACTTTTGTACCATGTTACTGTTTGTTGTTTTGATATCCAAGCTGTACTTTTAGGGTGTGTTTGTTTGGAAGTCTGGATTTTGGGTTTGGGATTTGAACATTAAAAATTTTGAATTGAAATAGTTGTATAACTTAATATAAATAGGTGTTGATGTAATGTTTTGAATGTAAAATTGATTTTTAGTATAATATAGAAAATAAAAAAAGGTGATTGATTGAATGTTTTTGAGGGAAAATTTTTTGATGAATAGTAAAATTTGTGTAAAATCCTATTAAATAACACATAATTAGTAACTACATCTACATCTACTTTGTACCGGATAAAATACTGATGACTTCACTACAGGGCTGTTAACTTTGCAACATCATCAATTGGTATTCTTTAGGGGGGATGGGTAGCATAAATCTCTGATTTTTTCTTGATTTACACCTTGCAGGACAATGATAGAATCTTTATGGTAAATACTGCAATTACAAAAGTATTTTTACAGTTGAGTAATAATGCCTTCTCGCCCTATACTCCGGTGGAGAAGTTCTTGGAATTCATTGGAAGCTCGCTAGTTACAAAGGTTAGCTTCTGTTTCTGTAATTGCCACTTCCAAGTATAAGATTGTATGGTTAAAACCTTCTATTATGTACACTGTTAAGAGCTGTTTACATTTTTCTTGGATTGAACAATGATTCTACATATATGATGTTGCACTTCACCAGTTTATTTGGATTGTATAGAAATGCATCTGCTACTAGATTGTTTCTCAGTACTCAACTCAAGTTGCATTGTTACATGAGCTGCATGGCCAGCATCCATATTGATGCATGCATATTTTGCAGATGGAACTAGGCAAAGTGTTTTATGAGAAACACTTGCTTCCAATTATACCATACATTCCAAAATTGGTAATGCAAATTTCTGGTGACTCGAGATCTCATATTCTAGAGGTGTGTAATTTTATATTAAACAATTTGTTTTCTAATTGAGTCTATGTGCTGTCCATTATATAATTTTAACACATCATACAGTTCATCGTAGCCTATAACAGTTTAATCCTATTTTATTTATGCAGGGTTTCACAGAAGCATTCAGGAACTGCAATCCGGAGTCGCCAATGAAATTCTGTTGCCTTACTGCAATTGAAGAAATGCTTGTTCCTGTAAGATGTGTGTTCTCTGTTCTTTTGTATTATTGCACTAGGACTTTTTCACCTAACATAATGTGATTTGGGCCATTTTATACTGTTTATTTTTTACATACTTCAACATCCTGGTTCACATAAATAGGTGATCTTCTACAGAGCCTTCATGGCAAACACTCATTTAAGCTTCAGTTGTTAACACTGATTTCACAACACATGAGATAAATGATCAAGAGGCATATAAGCTTCATTTGTTAACAAGGAGTCCCATTATCAGTTTATGATATATATATATATATATATTCTGTTGTCTTTCAGCCACATTTGTATTGTTATCATGGTTGGAAATTTTCTGCAATGCAATTGTGATGTTTGCTCCCTCATCAGTGGATTTGAATTTCAATCACTACATACAGAAACTATCTATAATCTTATTCTGACCTCTTTGATGATTAAAACTTGGTGAAGACATGTTTGGAACCTAAAAGTTTCTTTAAAAACCTTGTTGACATCACCTCAATACAAAACTTGAGCTCATTTCATTTTATACAGCCAAACTGAACCAGAGTGTGAGTTCAGCGTTCATACCCAAATTTGGCATACTGAAATTATGATATAATGAAAATTCAATTTATTGCAAATCATAATTCTGCAAATGTGCAATTTGTATGCTCTGCCCTAATACCATGTTCTAAGAGTTAAGGGCATGGCATCTTAACTAGGAGTCTAAAATTCTTAGTAAAGTGTATGATTTTGTATTTATTTTTAGTTAGCTGATCCAACAAATGAAGATATTGTACTATGCATCTTATGAGTTATTTGCTTGTCAATTTAATCCCATAAGGTGAAATTTAATGCTGGTCATTAAATATCTCATTCTTGGTTTTGATCGTATGATCCCCAACTGTAGAAAATCCAAGGGAATGTATATAAATCAAGATCAAATAATTAGTTTTAAATGTTGAAGTATGGGATTATGCTTAGAGTGTCTACTTCATTATAACAATCCATTAACAGGTATTATCCTAAAATTGTTGTTGGACAATGACGAACCTGATCAAGTAAAAACTGATTTATTGCAGTGCTTCCCCATTATTAGAGTATGTTTACCTAGCATGACAATTTTCCTGAAGTCGGAAACTTGGCTACAAGAATTTGATTAATCTTCTAATGTAGTTGAATTGCCTGGACATGAGGCTACTTGTTGATTTGAGAACTGGTAATATTTTGAGTAGGGAGTAATGTGGACCTAGTGTTGTAGAAATGTTACTAATTCTTCTGATTATGGCATTTTACATTTTGTAACCAATGTCTTCATGCAACAGGAAAGAAGCTTAAATTACACTGATGCAAATGATCCAGATCGTGTGTTATTACATTACCAAATTGCATGGATAAAGGAATTTCCTTCATTGCTAATTATGTTGGATGACAAAAATCCATTATGTTCTAAGGTACCTTTCTGTGATTCTATGCTAGTTTCAAAAATTGTAACCCAGATGGTTTCTCCTACCAGAAATTATTATTTTGCAGTGCTAGAATTTCTTACTGATTATTGTTCTTTTTTCAGACCATTTTGCGCCTTCTTATTCTTGTGGCACAAACATTTCCAGTGAACTCTCAGTTTCATGTTCTATTCGACAGTCTGCAATACAGTTTCAAAAATTTCTTCAGCACAGAAATTGAGAATGGTAAAAAGGTGTTGGCAGTGTAATTCTTTTCCTATTTATCCACATGCTTTAACATATTTTTATATTTTGCAGCCATATGTTTTGGTCCATTCGTAAGGCTTGATGCAGATATTCAGGAGCTTTCTCTCAGTTGCCTTTATTATTTCACATATAGAGACTCCCTGCTGTTGCAGTCACTAGTTTCATGTTGCTTATGTAAGTTCATAACTTCAAACACTTTGTCAATTTTGTAATTGTTTTCAATTTTATTATTTTTTCCAACAAATGTTATTGGGTTTGTATCCCTGTTAATTAAAGTAAACTTTTTTCATTTTTTAATCCCAGAGTTTCTGTATTGTAGATGTCTTTGGAACATACAAAAACACTTTTGTCAAATACTTCTCTGTCTATTAAGAATTTTAGCCACTCTAGTTGTTGACAGTATTAAAACACTCAAATAAGATAGCTGGAAATCCACCATTGTTTTAGTTTATGGGCCAAAATGAATTACTCATTGCTGCTTGTGCAAAATGATGTGGCTGGAATATGGGTATAAGGTTTGGTTTGCGTCAATTTTAAAAATTGAATATGTGCTATAATAGTTCTCATGCTCTATGCAAACCCAAAGCTGCTCGTACTCGTTCGTGCGACAACTACTTTATGCATTCATATCATTATTATCAGAAGAACAAACTGATGAATATATATATATATATATATATGGTGCTATTAAATGAGAAACAAAAACACCATGCAATGTGATGAAAAGTGATTTGACAGATTATAATTATATTGCATTATTCTTGTTGCAGGTGATGAGTTAGATCCATCTTTGGTCATCTGCATTTTAGAAGTTCTTCACTCTGTCTTTAGAGCTGGACGCATACACCTTGCAGATTACACTAGTTTCCACTTAACTTTACTTTCACGGTTTCGTGTTTATCCTGGTATCATTTGAATTCATTTACATCTTATTTATGGTTATTCTTATTTCATTAAAAGCTGTTCAAAACAGTCGTACCTTTTTCCACGGAACTTCTATTTATGTTCATACCCTAGTGTTTTTTTTCTTCAGACAAATGAAACAAAATAGGGTTTCTTGTTATCACTTTTCTTTCCTGTCCTTCATATTATAATATTTCCGGGATAACATGGAATTGTAGAGTATAAAAAGACTGTTTTCTTTTTGGATTGCATTGGGAAGGGGGGGCTTGGAGCCTCTGAATTTTACGGATGATCTATAATTTATTTCTGGTGCCATACATTTGTTTTATTCTTGCAATTTGTAGATTTGTTCCTTAATATTAGACTTTGAATTTTTCAGAAAAGTTCAGTTCTTCTGTAAAAGCTGATGGAAAGTCCAACCAGTTGACATTCAAGTATATTACCAAGAGGGTCTGCTCATACATGTTAGAGATTGGTGATAGTTATCTTGTATTTCAGATGCTGGAGAGGCCAATTGTTGATCAGATAGTATGTTGTTCGGCCGCATTCTTTTAACCTCCTTTTTTCAATAATTTAGTTCATATATTAACAACATTCATACTTATGTGGGAAGTTCTAAATTCTCTCTTTTCTAGTACTTTTTGCTTATCCTTTGACCATCCTTGTGTGTGGAAGTCTTACATTCACCTTAAATGCCATCAGTGCAGTGAAATGCCAATGGAGAATAAGTGTGCTTTTCTCAGATTGCTTGTCACTCTAGACTCAAATCCTACGAGACTTTCTGATCTGAGTATTGTGAAGATTAGCCGCGTCCTACCTCAATACTTGATCAAAATTATATTTGTAAGTATTTCTCAACGAATTTCTCCCCAAGCTTGTCTTTCTCCATAGTCTATTTAGTTGTTTATGTAGCACTTATATTCCACATGCAATTTCATTTCAATGCAGAATGTTGGGGACGATAAACATGAATCAACATCACTGACCTATGCAAAAAGAAGATATTTCTTGTTGCCTTCCTTTCATCTGTTTCACAGAAGCGAAAGACTTTCTAGTCGTGTGTTGAATTTTATGGGTTCTTGTGTGTTGGACAGCAATTTGGTATTTGGTTTTGATCTTCCCCATTCCTCTGTTAACCATTCAACTCTAGCATGTGCCATCAGTATGGTAATCCTCCACATGTATGAAGATGACAAGATGAGGCAAATTTTGTTGACATTCAAGATAGAAATCAAGAATATTTTACAGAATCTAATTAATTTACAGGTATGTTTGGATCTTCCTTTACCTCTTCAAGCCTTTTCTAATAAATGGTCTTTTTGAGATAATTTCAATCTTTCATTACCAATCTATTCCACCACCACCCAATTTGTTTGGGGGTTTGGATTTTTGGATTGGGATTTAAATAGTAAAATTGTTTTTTAGTACAATATAAGAAATTAAAACCAAGTGTGTGCTTTGATTGTTTTTGGGGAAATAAATTAGTAAATAGTGGAAATTTGACAAAATATTTGATAACAGTCGTACTTTTTGCTTGCTATTGTATGTTCCTGCTTCCCGGTTCTTCCTTTTTATTTGGCCATCGTTCGGTGCAATTTTTTTCCATCCTTTGGTAGCTATATAAAGGCTAAGTAGTCTCCATTTCTTTAGTTAATCCTATTGCAACATCATGACACGGTCTCTCTATTTTTGCAAGTCTTCTGAATGCACAAAACTGACGATGGAGGAAAGGCACAAAATTCAAAATTCATATGACCGGCTGAGAGAAATTGTCATGCCAATCCTGAAATAAGAGAACACAGATAACAAGAAAGAAGGCGATGGTACAACTGGGTATGTGTTCCTTATTAATTTTCTCTGTAATGGATTACTTGTAACTTTATAGAACATGAGCATGTCTATATAAACTCACTAATATATCTTTATCGTGTCATATGTTGTATGGGGTAGAAGACTAAAGCCAACTTCATTACCGTTGTATTAATATTGGTTATGGACGCATGGCATAAGCTCACCAATGGAAACACCTCTTACTTTTGCACTATTTGTGTAGGTATTCTGCATTCCTGGCTTTGGAATCATTCTGTAGCAAATCCAATGGTAGCATACTTGTGGTTGCTTTGTACATGCAAGGCCAAGTTCTACATCTGTGGTCCACTCTTACAATTTGTGAAACGCTTCTCTTCTCTAAAGGTCAGCACGTCCCATTGTAGGGTGAATACCTTTTTCATTCTGTATTTTTTTATTTTATTTTTTTTGTTTTCGATTGGGAAGAATACTCTGTATTGTTTTTTTGATCCGAGAACACTATTGTTCCTTGTACATGTTCTTGTTCCAACAGATGGCCTTCCATCACAGCAGACCCCTTGAATTTTCATCTTCTCATAGTGTGGTGTGGTGATGTGCTCCCGACATCAGCAATGGGGAACTTGGTCCATTTTGCAGCAGCCAAAGAATTGAGTAATAGTATTTATTAAGGTAGATGTTAATGGTATAAACATTGCTGGAGTAGAGAGATTAGAAATATTTACTTGATTGCAGATTGATTAATTTATTAATGGTTTGATTGTGTTTGTGCCCAAATAGATATTTTTCATTGATATTGTTTAGATTTGTGAGCCGTTTGGCTGCTGTTGGATGAAGTGCTGGTAAAATAGTTATTCGATATTAGATGTTCTATGTAAAATGACAATTAAAACATTTGAGTATTTTATTTTTAGAATAGATATTGTGTTAAATATTGTTAAATTTATTATTTTACTATATTTATATATTGAAATTATTTTATTTTATTTTATTTATTTTAAACATAACATTTATGTGATAATATATGTAAATAGATTAATAATATTTATATATTTTTTGTTTAAATTGTATTAAATTTATAAATAAAATAACTAATGTATCATAGAATTGATAATTTTAATTGCTTTAATTGTTTTAACTTTATCGAATCAAAATCATAACTTAAATATATATATATATATAGATATATATCAAAATAATTACTGGAATGCATCAACAAAAAGAACAAATAATAATTACCACTTTTATGTCATGAGAGTCGAATAAAAGTATTATTTTTAAAAAAAATTAGTAATGCAATGCATCTCATTTAAAATAAATACAAAATATAATATACTCTAAAATCATCTACGCTTATTAGCAAGTTGATATGAGATTATAAGCGATATTGTTTCGAATTTTTGATATCTATTTGGAAGTTGATATTTCAACATTGTCATGTTCAGAAGTAATTTTGAAATCACCATATTCAGTGAGAATATCAGACGGGACAAAATTATGATCATCATCCATGAATTTAAATGCCGAATCAACAATCTTTCTTAGCCTAATGTAATTATGCAAAGTAAAGGCTGCACAAATGATTATGTTTTGAACTTCCACTGAATACATCAACATTTCTTTAAGTATTTTTATCGAGTCTTAAGAACTCCAAAAGCTCTTTCAATGCAACTCCTTAACCATGAATGGTGGTAATTGAAGGTTTCTTGATATCTTTTCGAACCATTTCCACGAAAATCTGATTGATGGTATCTTATTTTTTAATATGGCGTCAAAAAATCATCTCTTTCTGGATAACCTTTGTCAGCCAAATAATATTTTTCTACAAATATAATAATATTATTATATAATATAATAATTATTTCTAAATAAACAAATAAAAATATTTCGGAACTCAAACAAACTACCTGTAGAAGGTTACGAAAAATTTAACTTAGAATCATTGATGGTGTCTAGAAATATCTATGCATCATGTACAAATAGTTTGTAGTTGGTGTTCCTTTTCGCCCTCTATATCGTAGTTGTATTTTTTCTGGAACAACCACAACAATATGCGTGTCGTCAATAGCTCCAATGCAATCCTAACAAAATACACAAAGTTTACAAATAAACTTGAAAATTTAGCCAATACAAAATTTTTGAAAAGAAAATAAAATAAGCAATATATTACAAATACCTTAAAATGTGGCATGTATTGAGAGTTGTTTGACGATATATGATGGTATTTTGTGGAATTCAGGATCTCTTGTAGGGATGTCAAATGGGACAGGTTAGCCCCGGAGTCGGTCTTAATGAGGCGGGTTCGAGTTAGAAAACTTTTGTTCGGAGCGGGTTGTGGATTTTGAGTTTTAGACCTGGCCAGATTTAAGGCGGGTTACGGGTTTTACTAAAAATCCACCCCTCTTCGGACCCGGACCCGAACCTGAATATTTAAATAATTATTATAATTTATTTATATTTTTATACAATGTAAATTATACTATTATTTATTTATTTAAAAAATTTCAAACATAAATTAGAACCTTAATTCTAAATCAAATATATTTTTGCATTTGTTTCTTGTACAATTCTCTTAATAATCGGAAGTAATGCTGACCGCCGTCATTGCAGACTATTGTCAATATTTGATTGTTTTTATTTTTAGAACTATAATTTTTTGTTACTTTAATACATACATTTTTTAGTATTAAATTATTTTTAAAAAATTATATTTTATTTTTTTTTCAAAAGAAAAGCGGGTTTATCGCATTGGCCTTGAACCCGAAGGGTTCGGGGTGGGACGGGTCCTGGGGCCGGGCTGAAGCGGGTTGGGGCGGATCTTGGGTCTTAATATTTTTTAGCGTGGCGGGTCTCGGGGATTGCAAAACCTATCCCGAATCCGCCCCGTTGACATCCCTAATATCTTGGTTTTATTATATCCCTCGAAAGACGATCAATAGCATCTAAAACTTCTTTAAAGATTCGACTCACTGTTTTTTCAGAACGTTGAAATCGCTCTTGCAAATTTCTATTTGAAGTGCCTTTGCTAAGTACAAAAACAAATATTCCTACTTTTTCCAAAATAGACATTCTATATGAATCTTTCAATCCGTACTTATTTTCTAACTCACTGCATAATTTTCTAATTTGGGTGTGTTTGTTTAGGGGATTCTCCCCCAAATACACTATTTATCCCATTTTTCTCCCCCTTAAAAAAAAAATCTCAAATCAAACACCTATTTTTTATTTTTTATACTATACTAAAAATCAATTTTACATTCAAAATATCACATCAACACCTATTTATATCACATCATACAACTATTCAAATTCTAATTTTTAGTATTAAAACGTCTTTTTTCATGTCCACTTAGTAATTCATTCATCCATCTTTCACGGGTGAAGTACGAAGTGAAACATGGCTCCTTATGTAAGTAATTAACATAGTAATGTGCAAGATAACCCATTGCACATGCAATGAAATCCCAATAATTATTCTCAAAATCTATTACTTGAAGAAACTACTGACAAAATTGTTTGTCTTGTAAGAGGCGTCGATGTATGCTTACGAGATTATTATTATCCATATCTGCAAGCGTAAATAACAACAAAATATAACAATGTAAATTATAAAAAAATATATTCAAACAAATCAATGTTCAATGCCAACAAATGAAAACATACTAGTGAATCACTCAAATAGTCAAACAAATCAATGTTCAATGCTAACAAATAAAACATATTAGTGAATCACTCAAATAGTCAAACAAATGAATGTTCAATGCCAACAAATCAAAACATACTAGTGAATCACACCTCAAATAGTCAAAATCAACAAGTTGACAAACAAGTTAATAATACAAAGAAAGTTCTACTCTCTCTTTCGTTCACTATACATGAACTTAATCTATCCAACAATTATTGTATCACTTGACATATTAGCTAAAATTAGTCTCTTTCGTGGATCTTTAATCATTGTGACAGCAAAGCTGAACTCAACACTACCAAGTACTGAATCTTTTAAGATACACAACTTTGTCAAGGCATTTGTAACACTCATAACTTCTTTATCTTTGGAAGACAGGGATGCAAGGGCAATCATTGCACCCGATGATTGAAAAAAAAACAATTCATCGAGTCATTTCTATTTGCAATTGACTGAAAATTTTGGTCAAACTTCTCATTGATGAAGTCCCTACCTCTCAATTTTTTAGCGGAATCAATCTTTGCGCTCTTTTCACTTTCAATATCACTTCTTTCAAGACTTAACTTTCCTTTTGTTTTTTACGCCATTATTACTTGTTGTACCAATAAAAGTATATGTAAATTCTTTCTAAATATCATCCCAAGCACCATCAATAGATTGGTTATAGCTAGTACCATCATTTATAGGATCATCATAATGGTAATATGATAAATCAACATGTGGTGCATCACCAAATATTGAGTCATCGATATTAACCGTACGTGGTAAAAATGAGATTTGAGTTCCTTGTTATCCTGTGAGCAATAATTCTCGGGAGTATGCTTATATTCTCTTGTCGCCATTGAATGAGCAAAAAGAGAATCCATTTGAGATTTTAACTCTGGATCAATTCCTTCTTCTCGAAAAATTCTAAAATTATTATTTTTCTATATAAAAAAATATAATAGTATATAATAAGATTTGTATGACTTAAAAAAATCTAATAAAATAAAATAAAGCAAAGTAAAATAAAATAAAATCCTAAACTGAATTTTAGTATCCCACCACTAGTCACTTGCACATACTATTCTTTTTTTCATGATCACATCATAATTCAGTTTCTTTTCCCTTCAACTTTTTCCAGAGACTCCATTTTATTCTCATCCAATCATACTTATTTTTTAATCTATTTTATTTTCAAGTCCTATGTGTCCTTTTCTGAAACTCTTCCTAAAGTTTTTTCCATCACATCCCTTGTAAGATTGTTGCACCTAATTTTCTTTTATTTTTGCTAAGCCATTCTACGCACAAATCAATAAGTATACGAAGGTCTGATGGTGATGGTGTCCAATTTATTCTTCCCGAATCTCTCTCTTTATCACACTATCCTTCATCACTATTTTTTGTCAATGTCATCTAATAAAAAAAAGCAAATAAAAAATAAAAAAATAATTAAAATTAAATATAAGATTGGTGATTTTTATATATTTTGTATTTCAAATGAATGGATAGAAGATATTTCAATAAAAATGAAATAAGCCTATAAATTTTAAGAAAATATATTTAACTAACCTAACAAATTTTATTTTTAAAAAATAATATAACCAAAGTAACATAAAATTCACAGAATATTATCTCTGCTGTAAACAAAGAGTAGCAAGATTTCGTCACTATTTTCTTATCAAAGTCATCTAATAAAAAAATAAAATAAAATTTAAATGTAAAATTAGTAATTTTTTATATTATGTATTTCAAATAAATAGATAGAAGATGATTTCAATAAAAATAAAATAAGTCTATAGATTTTAAGAAAATATATCTAACCAACCTAACAATTTTCATTAGAAAAAATAATAACAAAAAAATAACACAACATTCACAAAATATTAACTTTGTGGTACGTGATTTCATCCTTTCTTTTTTATCAAAGTCATCTAGTAAAAAAGTAAAAAAATAAATAAATAAAATAAAGTTTAAATGTAGAATTAGTGATTTATTTTATAATCTATATTTCAATTGAATGGATAGAAAATTATTTCAATAAAAATAAATAAATAAATAAGCCCACCGATTTTAAATATATACATGTAGCATATAAATCTCAACTTGTGAAATAAGAATACTTTAAAAAAGAAAATCAAAAGTAAAATACAGATACACTAAAGCCAAAGCAAACACACCACAAAAATAACCATAAAAACGACTCTTTAGTTTTTCTATCTATATTCATCCCGTACACACCCAAATATTAA